TGTGCATGTGTGAGTGTGTGTGTGTGTGTGTGTGTGTGTGTGTGTGTGTGTGTGTGTGTGTGTGAGTGTGTGTCTGTGCGTGAGTGTGTGTGTGCGTGAGTGTGTGTGTCTGTGCGTCTGTGCATGTGTGAGTGTGTGTGGGTCTGTGCATGTGTGTGAGTGTGTCTGTGCATGCATGTGTGTGCATGTATGTGTGCTCACCAGGACAGTAACAGCGCAGGACTCCCGGCTGAATGAGAGAAGCAGGAACTCTGCTCTGGTCAAACACACACGAGTATCGGCTGTCTGTCTCTGACCACGGGCCTGTGATCAACACCTTCACTCCGCCCTGAACCACGGAGAGTAAACCAGGGTTATTAGCGCAACCCAAAACCATAAAAACATTCTCGTCACTTCAAATGAAAAAAAAAAAAAGGGTTTCATTTTAGTTGAAATTTTTGTTATTTTGCTAATAATTTGGTTATTTTGTTTGTAATAAAATAACACCAGTGTTATATTTTGAATTAGTTTTTATTTTTATATTTTCCATTTTTATTTTAATTTGAGTTAGTTTCATCAAGTTTTTAAAAAAAAATTTTTATTTATTAATTGACTAATATTCAACTAGCTGAAATTTTAAAAAAAAGTTTAAGTTTGAATATATTTTATATTTTCATTTTCCCTTGAGTTTACTTTGAAGTTCTAAAGTAAAAAACTAAACTAAAAAAATTAAATATATACATGCCGTAGGTAATCACAGCGTGCTGATAACCAGCCATATCTCACGTCTACGAGTGTGATATTGTGTTTATACAACAGTTTGATGGCACGAGTATGTAAATATATAAGAAAAACAACAACAGAGTGTCTTTAAAAAACCCTTTTGTGCAGAACTACTTCCGCCAGATTCAAATCTCAGTTTGACAATTTAACAGCTGAGCTCAAGATCAGTTACTAATTCAGATCGTTACTTTAGAACTAGTAACGAAGGAACGTTGGGTTGCTTCATTAAAAGCTTATTGCATTACTGTATTAAAAGCTCACTGTATTATGAAGAGTATTATGAGATAGAGATGGACTGAGCGAGTGTGATTACCTGCATCTGATGCAGCATTCATTCTTCAGCTCAGTCTCATATTCACAATAAAACATTAGTCTGAATGTCCGCTGAGGAAAGCGATATTTGTCGTACTCTCCTTTCATCTATTAAAGGTGATTTCCGATGACTGCGCTGCTCACTGCATTTGTTAACTGCATCTTACAAGCTGTTATTAATAAAAGTAAAAATAACTTCCGTTTCAGTCTCTTTCAATATAAAAGTCTTTACTGCTGACTCTTGTCGCCATCTAATGGCGGAACAATGTCACAACAATCACCATCATGAACACACACACACACACACAGTTTCTCAATACTAAATACTACTATGAATATAAAATAGTATTTATTGAATAATAAACAACAATACAATAAAAGTTGCTAGACAATTCAGTCAAATGTACAAAGGCAGCGCTCTGATATAAAACATTACAATTACATCAAATATAACGTGATGAGATTTTGCCCTCAGCTAAAACTATTTGCTCTAGAAACAAATAAAAATTAATGAGACCAAAGACTGCCCGTTAGAATTACCCCAAATGAATTATATCTCATGTTTAACCGCTATAGAGACATGTGCCAGAAGATCTGGCCGAGGTGAGGCAGCGCGAGAGCGCCCTCTGGCCTTCGGATGGAGATTTACTGCTGATCACAGAACCGTGCTTCACTGAAAGATACGCATGACAATCACAGCTCCTGCCTAATCGTGATTTCGATTTCATTTAGATTTATCGTGCAGCCCTGAAATAGTCCATGCTTAAACTTCAGAAAATAATGTTTGTTCACTTAAAAGACTTCATATAAGATAACAGATGTGAAGATTCATACCTCCGGGTACGACCACTCGGGTGAGAAGTCCGTGATGTTGGCCAGCCGCTGGATTTGTTCCGATGAGCCGTTTGTAAGGAGCAGGAAGGGCAGGAACGAGGTGGACGGTGTCGGCTGAGGCGGAACCATGTACCTGACGGGGTAAACGGGCGGAGCCAGGGTGGGCGGGTGGCTGACGGGCTCCTCTGTGATGAGCTCAGATATGAGGTCGGGGAAGGCGGAGTCAAACGTCAGCCCCGCCTCCTCGCCGTCGATATGGTCACAGTGGGTGGTGTCCATGGGTGTGACTTCTGATTCGAAATGTGCATGAGTGGGCGGAGACTGCTCCTCTTTCACTTGAACGGGACTCACACTTGGGGGCGTGGCCGGGCTCAGATTCGGTGGTTGAATGCACATGGGGTGCATTTCTAGAGGACAAGGGTGCTGTGACTCAGCTTTTTCTCCCTCTGGAGGCAGCTGATTGGTCGGCAGCACTTCGAGGGAGGGTGTTATCTGGGTCATCCTGTTGACCTGATTGGTCAGTAGATGACCAGGCGGGGCTTCAGCTCAGCCCCGCCTCCTCGCCGTCGATATGGTCACAGTGGGTGGTGTCCATGGGTGTGACTTCTGATTCGAAATGTGCATGAGTGGGCGGAGACTGCTCCTCTTTCACTTGAATGGGACTCACACTTGGGGGCGTGGCCGGGGGCGGGCTCAGATTCGGGAGCCGTTTGTAAGGAGCAGGAAGGGCAGGAACGAGGTGGACGGTGTCGGCTGAGGCGGAACCATGTACCTGACGGGGTAAACGGGCGGAGCCAGGGTGGGCGGGTGGCTGACGGGCTCCTCTGTGATGAGCTCAGATATGAGGTCGGGGAAGGCGGAGTCAAACGTCAGCCCCGCCTCCTCGCCGTCGATATGGTCACAGTGGGTGGTGTCCATGGGTGTGACTTCTGATTCGAAATGTGCATGAGTGGGCGGAGACTGCTCCTCTTTCACTTGAACGGGACTCACACTTGGGGGCGTGGCCGGGCTCAGATTCGGTGGTTGAATGCACATGGGGTGCATTTCTAGAGGACAAGGGTGCTGTGACTCAGCTTTTTCTCCCTCTGGAGGCAGCTGATTGGTCGGCAGCACTTCGAGGGAGGGTGTTATCTGGGTCATCCTGTTGACCTGATTGGTCAGTAGATGACCAGGCGGGGCTTCAGCGTTGAATCCGGTGGGAGGAGCTCTGTTGTCGGAGGGAGGGACAGACAGTGGGGGACTCAACGAATCGAGTCCTAATGACGACTCCAGACACAACGGGAGCAGCGCGGGAGTCGTTCGCGTCGGAGAGAGCGAAAAAGACAGGGAGACTGGACTGGAGGAGGGACGACCCGGAATACTCTTCCTTTCTGTCTCAGAAGAGAGGGAGGATAGAGACGATGGCGGAGACGTGGGAGAAAGAGACAGAGCGAGAGACGGGGGCTGAGGAGATGTAGAAAGAGGCGGAGACGGGGAAGAGGAGGCGGAGTGGGATATGAGGGCGGGGCCTCCGTAGGTCTGTCCCTGTTTGGGGCAGTTGAGAAAGGAATCAGGGTCAAACGGGAGCAGCGAGGGCGAGGGAGACGTCGGGTTTGGGTGCAGGAGCATCCCAGGGGTGTCTGGGACAATGCGGTCGGTCAGCAGCAGTCCTCCAATCACAGGGCTGGGCAGGAGAGTGAGTGACAGCGTGGCCACTCCCTGATTGGGTGGGGCAGGGCTCGGTGGGGAGGCGGAGCTTGGCGGGGAGGGCGTGTCCTGTTTGGGCGGCACAGGAGATAGAACGAGCCGCCCGCCGGCGCGGGTGAGCGACAGTCGGGTGGAGCCTAGCTCGCCCTTTGGCTCCTCCCCACAGCCACGCCCCACTGGTGCTGCCGTCGTCATGACGATGAGCGCATTCTGCGGCAGCGCCACCGCTGCCAATCCGCCACGCTGATCACCGTAGAATCCGTTTCCGTTGCTAAGAGCGATTGTCGCCGCCCGCTGCGTTTGGGGCGGACTCGAGGAGGACGATGAAGAGGCGGAGCACGGTGAAGCCCCGCCCCCAGTGTCCTCGACCCTCCCACCATCTTCTGGCGCACCAGAGAGCTGCTTCCTCTCTGAAGGCATGACAGCGACTAAAGCATCGCCCGGGCCCACCTCCAGCCCCGCCTCCGCTCCTGAGCCCTCATTGGCCAGATTCTGCAGCTCGCTGAGGGCGGGGTGAGGGGTGGGCAGTTTGGGTGAGATGATGCGATGTTTGGTGCTGTTGCAGCGGTGAGGAATGTTGGATCCGGGAGATGCTGCGGGAAACACGTCACACACGGCAAATCAATGACCTTGGGGTTTATTTCCTCAACAACACAGTAAATACAGTATTATTGTGAAACATCATTACAACTTAAACTATGTAAATATGAATATATCATAAAGAGTAACTGTGTGTGTCTGTGACTGTGTGTTTGTTTTGTGTGTGTGTGAGTGTGTTTGTTTGTTTTGTGTGTGTGTGTGTGTGTGTGAGTGTGTTTGTTTTGTGTGTCTGTCTGACTGAGTGTGTGTTTGTTTGTTTTGTGTGTGTGTGTGTGTGTGTGTGTGTGAGTGTGTTTGTTTTGTGTGTGTGTCTGACTGAGTGTGTGTTTGTTTTGTTTTGTGTGTGTGTGTGTGTGTGTGTGAGAGTGTGAGTGTGTCTGTCTGACTGAGTGTGTGTTTGTTTTGTGTGTGTGAGTGAGTGAGTGAGTGTCTGACTGTATGTGTGTGTGTGTGTGTGTGTGAGTGAGTGAGTGTGTGTGTGTGTGTGTGTCTGTCT